CCCCAAAACCCCAAAACCCCAAAACCCCAAAACCCCAACAAAGTAAGTCTCCATTGAATTAACTGTATCGTGCTTTACTAGTTCCTCGAATAAAAATTCACTTCAGTTTCAGGGCTTAGTTTGGATATGAAATGCTCGAGAGCCTCTTCACCGTCTATAAATAACTTAGAAGTGACTATGAATGGATGAAGTAAGCATATTTTTATATAGAGACTGAATAGGAACTTGGAAGCAGTCCCAGTCCTAACTTACCTTGAATGTCTCAGTTTACCAGACTGAGCTTGTCTGTTGTTTGTCCTTTGTGACCTTGCTTACAGAGGGATAAGTCAGACTCAGAATTAAAGTTTCCATTAATCCTACAGTTGTACAGCACAAGGCTCTCGATTGAGTTACAAGCAACAAGAATTCTTTTGAACTGAGCAATCGAGATTATATAGCGGAGTAAAGTCAAAGTCTTGGCTTTGAAAGCGTCCTGAGCAATCAATGGTAGATACCATCCAAGCTTTGAAGTAGGAGTATTTGAAACAAAGGTTAAACTTTTCAACTGGTGTTTCATGGGATTAAAATAATTACTATAAATCCTCCTTGACTCATTTGGATTCTTTGAGATGTACAAACGTTCAAGTTTGGGCAATCTCAATGCTTTGAACTTTGCTAAGAATAACTTGAACTCAGTATTAACATAGAAGTATTCTTGCCGATAATAAGCCCTTTGCTTGTCGATGATTTCGGATCCAGTTGCGAGTATTATCCGATCGAGGGCCTCTTCACTCTTCAAAAGGAACTGTTCAGTTTCTCCAGTATTAGTATGACACTTACCAACCAGATCTGCCTGGATGGACTTCTTCCAGGCTCTCAGGTTCGTTGACAACTCCTCTTGGTATTTTTCCATGAATTTGGTGTAGGTATGATACTCTCATAGTCCTGTTGCATCATAAATCTCAATGTTTCATACATCACAATGAAATATCGCATTCATAGTTGATTTTATAATTAAATCAGAATTTGTCAAGATTTATACTCCAAGTTGGGGTTTTGGGGTTTTGGGGTTTTGGGGTTTTG